TGGGTGCTAGTCTCTAGTGAGATAGGGAGGGAGGGGAGGCCAGGTGGGCACAGCCACAGTTAGGGGACATGACATCCAGGCTCTGTTCCCAGTCACGAGGCCGGACTGGGCATACACCCCTCCCAGCCACAGACACCAGGAACATGTGATTCCCTGCTTGGCCGGAAATGAAGAAGGAGAAACTTTTGGCAGGCTGTCCAGTGGTTACCATGCACTGTGTAGTTTAAATATTTGTTCAGACCACGCATGTATGGCCGTCAGAACAGCTCTCTGTTCTGAAGTGGTTTGGAATGCGAACCCTGCCTGCACAGGACTTCTGGGGTACATTGCCCTCGGAGGATCTGGTCACACCTGGCGTCTTAAGTGGACGTTGGGGAAGCCAAAGGGACAGCACAGTAGGTAAGATGTTTGCATGTTCCTGATCTAGGTGGAGTTCCGGGCTCCCCATAGAGCCCTCATGCCCACCGGGAGTGATCCCCCAGTGCAAAGTCAGGACACTGGCTTTGGACACTGCCAGGAGTGGCCCCAAAACAAAACCATGAAAGTGGGCCTTGCCCCCCGATATGCAGATCACTGGGATTCCCTTTCAGTACCTCCATACTGCAGAGCTCCCTGCTCAGCTCCCCCACTACAGCACATCTTCAGCCAGTCTGCTCCTGTGCCGAGCCCAGGAGTGCAGACCATTCGCTTAGCAGTGACCCTAAGCTATTGTGCTATCTTTGCTCAAAAATAAATTTATATCTTCTCTCCCTGAAGAGCATAATGATTAAATGCTTGATTAGTTCCAAGGTAAAGGAATTGGCCTGTTTCTGTTACTTATGTTAGTGTACCATCTTGAAGCGGAGTGGAGGGGTTTGTTTAACTTGGCAAACATTGACTTTGTTCTAAAAGCTGCCACTTTGCTTAATGTGGAAACATGTGTGCACTCTCTTACCAACAGAAGCAAAACAACAGCTGCCACCTTTTTCCTCATTTTGTGGGAATATCACATTCAATTGGATGTGAATAAGAAATGAGAAGCTTTGCAAAACAAAAATACAGAACATTCTTCTGTTGTCATCTTTCTTTGAATCACCAGAAGAAAGTATAAAGTAAACAAAATAAAATATAGTAGGGACAAGAGAGATAGAACAGTGGGTAGGGCGCTTGCCTTGGAGGCAGTTGACCTAGGTTTGATCCCCAGCACCACATATGATCCCCCAAGTAATCCTAGCATAACTGAGAATGACCCTAAAACCATTTATTTTTCCTGTCCATGATGGGAGTAGTGGGCTGGTATATAAACGTGATGAAGAGTGGATGCAGGAGGGAGCCTAAGTGTGAGGTGCCTGCCTTGCCTGGTGAGAACGGCCCCCACACCTTGCCTGTCCAGGCACGAGCCTAGTGACTCTGCCTGTTGAGCTGCTGCCTTTGACCTCTGCATGCGCACCAGGATGGAGTCCAGCCCTCAGCAGCACTAACGGAGAAATGTGAGCAGCCCCAGGGAGCATGGGAGCAGCAGGAGACTTGAGACAGTGTGTCACAGAACCAGCAGGAAAGGGTGTGCTTGTCGCAATAGGCACCAGAGTAGGGTATGAGCTGCATCTAACCGTCCACAAGCACTGGAGCCAGGACCACAGCCACATCACCACCAAAGGGAAAGGGCGATTGAATGCAATATTTTTAGAGTACAAAAGAGGAACGGCCAGCACCAGGGGTGGGGTACAGTGGGTAATGTGCTTACTGTACACACCGCCAATCCAGTTTCCATCCCCAGCACCACATCTGGTCCCCCAGCCCAGGAGTGGTTCCTCAGCACACAACCAGGAGTAAGCCCAAGAGCAGTACAGAAGAAAACCTGAAATTTTTTTGAGTTGAATAATTATAAAAATTGACAAGTTGCAACTAATGTAAAATGTATAAACCAAATATCTTGATTAGAAAAAAAATGACTCAAAATCAGCCACCTACCACTTTCAGAATGTTAAAAAGTTGCAGTTAAGCCTAAAGGATGAAAAAAAATATATCTATATACACAGGGTTTTCTTTATGTGCTCAAGACCAACTGCAGTTTCCCTCATTCATTACAAAGATTCAGAGCTCGACTCGGCCAGCACACAGTAAAAGGAGACAGATTAATGGTGCCAAGAAGTGGCTTCAAGGATTAGAAAACTTTGTGGCAGGTGGTAATGCAGGCTCTGATCCCCAGCGTGGCTGAAGGGCCTTGCATACAGCCAACTGGGGTCCCTTCCTTGTCACCACATATGCTCCCCAAGTGCTGGGAGTGATCCCTGAGCACTGTCAGGTGTGGCCCAGAAAACAAACCATCAGAAGTAACCCCTGAGAACTAGGTGTAGCAATGAGTGAAAGACAGCTGCAGGATTACAGTAGCCTCAGGGAAGTTCCCCCAAGGCCCGGCACTGGGCACCTGGCATTCCTCTGTCGGGGTCATGTGAATCGCCTTTATCTCCCGCTTGCCCTTCAGCAGAACACAGAGTCCTGCCAAGCAGAGAAGTTTCCTTGACTGCTGGTGTCCATCATTCTTCTGGGGCCCAGCCACATAGTGAGTGCTGTTCTCCAGACCCTGGAGGGCAGGCAGACTGCGAGAGATGAGTAGAGACAGCTCCAAGCAGCACCAGCCCGTAGCCGGGGACCACGTGACCTGCTGGGACCCAGGAGCCAGCAGATTCTTACTCCACTGAACATTTCACAGGCTCACAGTCTCCCTCCCAGGGCAGAATGATAGATGTCTCCATAGATCTATAAGTAGTGTGTGTATAGTTACATGATATATCTGTATATGCTTACAAATGTGGCTAGAACAATAACACAGAGGGGCTGGAGCAATAGCACAGCAGGTAGGACGTTTGCCTTGCATGCGGCCAACCTGGGTTCGATTCCACTGTCCCTCTTGGAGGGCCCTGCAAGCTACCAAGAGTGTCCCACCTGCATGACAGAGCCTGGCAAGCTACCTGTGGCGTATTTGATATGCCAAACACAGTAGCAAGTCTCACAATGGAGACATTACTGGTGCCCACTGGAGCAAATCGATGAACAGTGGGACAACAGTGCTATGCATACACATGTGCTATTATTGCATAGTTTTAAACTTTGTATGTATTGTCTCAGTATGCTTTTCTGCTGATAATGTTCCTAATCCAGCTTGTCCAGCATCATCAGTTTGTTTAGCAGTTTTCATTTAGGGCATGTATGATTTTTCTCTTTTTGTCTTTGTTTACCTCTTTTTTTTGCATTTTATGTTCAGAGCTTCCCTCTTTTATAAGTATAATTATTTTAGTTATGATTATCTTCATTGTGTAGTTGGAGTAATCATCATAAATCAGTGACTTCACCATGGCCGTGCCTTGGGGTTAGTTAGTGCTAAGTTGACCACTTACTGTTGGCTCTCAGCTCTGCCCCGCCCCGCCCCTTCTCTCCCCTGTCTCTTGTTCTCTCCTCAGCCCCTCTCCATAAAATATCTTTATTTTGAGCCCCTGTTACCTATTGTATATGCACTCTTTGGCCATTTATAGTGGCTACCTTAGAGATTGTAGGCACATGTTTAACTTAGTAAAATCTCATGATTTAGCACTTCCACCATCTTCTGGGTGCACATATACAGATGCTCATCTCATCACCCCTTTGTGAATATCGATTCCTCCGCCCCTCTCGGAGAGCCCGGCAAGCTACCGAGAGTATTTGATATGCCAGACACAGTAACAACAAAGTCTCCAATGGAGACGTTACTGGGCCCGCTCGAGCAAATCGACGATCAACGGGAGGGCCTTTACCTTTACCTTTACATATTTTAAGCCACTTGGCTTTTTAAAATTATATTGTATCAACTTTTATTGTCACTCCTACCACCATATGTACACTTAATTCTTTGCTAATATTGTATTTCCCTCCTTATCCAGAACTGCCCTGAGCAGTTATTTAGTGTTGGCTTGCTGCTGATAAAATCTCCTTTGACTTCATTTTTTGGGAAGTAACTCTTCACTGATTAGAAGATCCCTGGTAGTTATTTCTTTCTGACGGTCACCCAGCCCATCATCCTCTAACTCTCATTGTTTCTATAAAAAGCCATCAGAGTCCTGCCATTGCTTCTGGGGAGGTATTGTGTGTTTTCTCATCTGCTTTTAACTTTTCCTGGTTTTGCCATTCTTTCCATGGTGTGCCTATGGGGTAGGGTCTTTTGATTCTTGATTCTGTGACTTCTTAAGTATTTCTTTTGTTTTCATTCTAATCTCATGAAAGTGCGGTTGTACCTAAATTAGAGGTTTTCAGCCTTTTGTTTTATGTAGAAATAAGTGCCAACTGTAGAACCTAGAGCTGGAACCGAATTTACATTCCATAATGGGAAATGAGGAGGAAGACACAATCCTCTTGGCTTTTGTTGTCTCTTTCTGATACTTTTTTAAATCTTTTTCATGTGGTTTGAGTGGATCATTAAGAAATGTAATTGGGGTGTTGAAAGTACCCAATTTGCAGAACCCTTAGGCTTTATTGTCAGAGTAGAAACAAAACAAAACAGAACAAACAAATAATGAAAACACAGTGGCTGAGTTGGTCAGGAGCTTAGGAGCACTGGTATGGGAATGGACTGCATACAGCTGCATACAGTGGGATCATGCATGCTAAACTTAACAACCTAAAGAAACTAAAGAAACTTCCCTTATCTAGATTCAGTTCCATTTGTGAAATGAAGGTAAGTGTACAAGTTTCATAAAATGGAAAGAATTCAGTCGTAGAAGGTCTTGGCAGCATTTAATAATATTCATTGATATTCCTGGTTTTTCATTAGTCTTCTTTCTGTCCTGTTCATTCCTCTGTACACCTAGAACCCCTGTACGACCAATCACCTGCTGTCCGCTCTGCCCAGGCAGTTTTGATAGAGCTGAGAGTGCTGTGCTGGGTGCTTGTTCTGTAGCCCAGGAGGTCGCCAGCAGGCTATTGTCATTTGGTCCCCATGGGTGTGCCAGCGCTGCGCCCTTGTCACTGACTCTGACTTTCTTCCTCAGTATGGAATGCTCCTTTACCAGAACTACAGAATCCCGCAGCAGAGGAGACCCCCTGGCTCCCCCTTCTCAGCCCCGGTGGTAAGTAAATCTGCAGTCTCGCCACTACATCCATGTGCATTCGCCCGAGGAAGCTGAAAGAACGTGTGTATTTCAGAGGGACCACTGTGGGGGTTTAGTATGCCATCTAGTATACCATCTGGGGCAGATTCCCATGCCCGCCTTCCTCCGCATCCCTGCGCCACCCCCACGGACTCAGGAACTCCAGTGGCTGCTAGAGGTTCTGCTAAGGAGCCACCTTGCTCATTTTTGGCTTTTGTCCCTTTTAGCCATGAAATCCTTATGCTCTTGACCATTTTGTTTGAGTCCTTAATATGGATTTAGCGATTATAATTCATCCTCTATGTTCTTTTTTTAAAAAATATTTATAAGATTTGTGGTTTATAAAGTCGTTCAGAAAACAGTTGTTTCAGGCATTTAGTGTCCCAACACCCATCACACGGTGTGACCTACACCCACCATTATCTCAGTCTCCTACCCACCCCCGAAGCCTGATCTCTTGGCAGGCACTAAATCAGTATTTCATACTACATGTTACAACAAAATGGCAGACAGAATTACCATTATCTTTTCAGTAGAAGAAAATTTGTGAGAATTGTTCTGTCTCACGGTGGAGTTATTAAAGCATTGTCTAAGGGCTGACTAAGCTTGTTGCTGCCAGTTGAGCCTCTTATTGTTTCTGTTTAAGGAGCTTGGTTGACTTCCACGCTACCTTCCCATCTAGTTTGGTGTGCTCCTGCTGGCCTGCAGTGCTGGGGAATCTGGAGGTTTTGCATGGCCATCAATGCAGCCACACGTTCCTGGTGCTCCAGGGTCTGTAGAGCTGGGACGATTCTCCACCCACACTTTGGCCCGAGGGTGACCTGGCATCTGCTTGCTAGGATGTACTGTTCTTCCTGAAGGTTCAGAAACACCATCCTCTCCAACAGAATTCCACTAGAGTCTTTTCCTTTGAGATGTAATATTAGGCCATGGTGTGTTGAAGAACCAGATGCCTAGAGAGACCTGGGTTCGACATTTCTGCTTCCGATGTGTTTTAGCACAAGTTGCTGTCCATGAGAAGGACCACAGGACCCACATCCTGCCAGCATTTGTAGTCTCAGTTCCACAGTTTTGGAAACTGAAGTAATTGGCCGGTTTCTTATTCTTGAAATAATCCAAAGCCATCTTTAGCTAAAGAGTCTTCAGTCACTGCATTTCCAACTTGAACCTAGTTGCAATACACAGTAAGGGCACTTTCCAGCTGTTCCTCCAGACTTTACGACTATTTTCTCTCAGAATCCCCTGTCTGCTGCAGTGGCTTGCAAGGACATCATAAGAACACCATGTCTCTCCTTTCCAGCGCAGTGTCTCGGAGAACTCCCTGGTGGCCATGGATTTCTCCGGCCAGACAGGAAGAGTGATTGAGAATCCAGCGGAAGCTCAGAGCGCAGCCCTGGAAGAAGGCCATGCCTGGAGGGTGAGATGTGGCCCTAGACCACGACAGGCCTGCCCAGGCGGCAGCTCTGTTACCCGGATGACTGTCTCTGTGGATGCTGGCAAGGGGGAGTGGGGGGGCAGGGGGAAGGAATACGGGCATCTGAGCTCTCCTGCAGGAAACCACATCCCCACACTCAGCTGTGCATACTGCCTCGTCCCACAGACTCTCTGCAGAGGGAGCAGGAGAGAGTGACTGACGCGGCCTCCTGCTGCTGAGTGTCAACCCTCAGACGCTTTGTCTGGTGGGGCCTAGACAGCCAGCATCCACACCACAGCTCAGCCAGTAGCTTTGGACAGTCTCTGCATTTTTCACTCTCTTACTCTCAGTCTCTAGCCAGAAATAATGTTACCCAACATCCAAACAAGCTTTTAGATTTTAAGAAAGTTTAAGAAACACAAACCCTCAGCTCCGGCTCGAAAAATATATTTCAGCTTCTATGTGAGTGGATCCAAGCACTGATGCTGTATAGTAACTAGCATTGGAGATCTTCTGAGTTTATGGAAAGCTCATCCTCTTCTCCACTATGCAGTTTCAGCATTTCATTATGTATCTTCTGTATGAGCCAGTGTCTGTTTATCACTGGGACCATTCAGATTGCTCAAAGACACTTTTCTGCACGTTTGGTTGTTCTGTAGAGGCTCCCTGTGGGTTTGGGAACTTTTGCAGTGTTCCTGGCAATGCTTGACCTGGCAGTGTGACCTAATGGTTCCAGGCTTGGCTTATTCAGGCTCTGTGGCACTGGGCCATCAGTGCCCACTCTGAAATATTTGTGAGCCACCAAGGCTTCACCCAGTGGCACATGGGGGGCCGGTTTAGGCATCACCTCATGAATGACAGGCATGACTCCACTACTTAAGCTGTCCCCACAGCTCTCATTTCTGTTTCTGACAACTGTCAGTCATGAGCTTCTGTCCCATGTCATCAGGAAAGGGACTCGGGCAGCTCCATCATCTTTAGGGCCTGTCGTCTTGGGAAATTTATCTCCCACTACCCCAACCTGCTACCCTGAGGCATGAGTTTGTGTTGGTGACTTGTGGGGTGTCAGTCTGCTATCTGTAGTGCTAACATGGGGATTTCTTTTGCAGAAGCGAAGCACGCGGATGAATATCCTAAGTAGCCAAAGTCCCCTCCACCCTTCTACCTTAAGCACAGGTAAACACATTTGGGCTTGCTCTCTTTATGTAGACGATGCACACAACTCCCAGTACTTCCTGAGCGGTGACAGGTGTGACCATGGGATTTGGGGCCCCACTGTTGGCAGGTCAGCAGTAGATTCCAAGGACCCCTCTGCACAGGGACCAATATGCTTCTCCTCTTTTCTTCCACAGTGATTCACAAGACTCAGCACTGGTTCCACGGTAGGATCTCCAGGGAAGAGGCACACAGAATCGTTAAGCAGCAGGGGCTGGTCGATGGGTAAGTGCTGTGTTGGGAATTGCTGGGGGGTGCTTGTTCACTGGTGGGCTACCGGGGGCGGCGGGGGGAGCAGTTTGCAGGGGGAGGGGGTGGGTGCGTGCTGGAGGAGGCAAGTGAGGCAAGCTTTAAAGCCTCACATGAAAGAAGAGGCAATTTGGTTTGGAGATATCAGAGTTGTACAAGCTGGCATAGCTCAAATTTGGTAGAAAAGAAATTACATTCCATTTTTGACAACACAGCCTACAATTATTTTCTACCTCTGATGAGATTTTGAACAAGGAACACAGCTAGTCTTGATGAATAAGACAGATATATGTGTATATGTGGTTTTGAGGGTGTGTGTGTGTGTGTGTGTGTGTGTGTGTGTGTGTGTGTGTGTGTTTGTGAGCCACCAAGGCTTCACCCAGTGGCACACGTCCAACAGCCTTGCCTGGGATATTTGCTGGAGCTATCCCAGGGTACCAGATCAGGAGAGATAAGAGATCGGGGCTCACACATTGCCCTAGCCACCTTTGCATCACATTTGTTTGCATTCGGGGACCGTAGCAAGTGGCTGCTTCCCCTTAGCACGCCAGGGCTGGGCTCCGGCTATGCAGAGGTAGTTACCACAGCCCAGCGCTGCTGAACTTGCTGTGATCTTGGACACGTTCTGCTTTCATCCCCAGGCCCCTCCATTTCCTTTTCAAATGATTTTTTTTTTTAGCATCCAACCAAGGTGGAGGTCCACTATACCTTGGCCAGCACCAGAATGCCTGGATCCCTTGCCCTTTATTCCAATATCTCCCACTCTCCTCACCCTTAGATCCTGAAAAATGTTCTCTGGGACTGATTGATCATAAGGGAATGCAAATCGCAACAACAGTGAAGTTTCTATACTTCAGATGGCTAGAATGGAAACCTAAATGCTGGCAGGAATGTGGGAACAGAGAAACTCTAATTCTATGCTGCTCTGGATGAGTTCCATCAGATGCATCTGAAACACACTCCCAGAGAGCTGCTGAACTCAATTCATTTGACCTTTTTTAAAAAGCTTCATTATAGAAATTGTCAAATTTGCATGAGAGAAGAGTATAATAATCCACATTTATTCATACCTTTTTTCTACTATCCCCACCCTCCCTTCCTCCCTCCCTTCCTTTTGCCTCTTGTTAATCACTGGACTTTCCTATTACTTCTTGAGTGACTTATTTGGACCAAGCACTGACAGCATTTGATCTTGTGTGACAGATGCATTGAGTGTTCATCTCCCATTCTGTTACTTTATATTCCCCAGCTGAGTGTAATCTTTCTATGTCTGTCCCTCTTTCTGTCTCATTTCACTTAGCATGATACTTTCCATGTAGAACCACTTGTTTGCAAATTTCATGACTTAATCCTTTCTAACTGCTGCATAGTATTCCATTGCGTAGATGTACTAAAGTTTCTTGGGAACTCGAGTTTTTTCCAAATTTTGGCTATTGTGAACAGTGCAGCAATGAACATACAAGTGCAGATGCCATTTCAACTATGCTTTTTTGCCTCTCCGGGATATATCCCCACGAGTGGTATTACTGGGTCAAATGGGAACTCAGTTTCTAATTTTTTGAGAATCATCCATACTGTTTTCCAAAAGGGCTGAACCAGTTGGCATTCGCACCATCAGTGGAGGGTCCCCTTTCTCCCCACATCCACGCCAACACTGGTTGCTTTTGTTCTTTTGGATATGGGCCAGTTTCTGTGGTGTGAGATGTTATCTCATTATTGTTTTGATCCGCATCTCCCTGATGATTAGTGATGTACAGCATTTTCTTATGTGCCTTTTTTGCCTGAGGTAAGCACCTTTAAAGACATAAGGCTTGTGTCCCCTTTCTGATGCAAAGTGCAACTTCACTCTCAGCTTAACATGCTCTCACTCATAGTGAACTCGGGGTTCACTATGTGGTCATACATCCCATCACTGAATCTGTTAATTCTTTGCACTGGGTCATTCTTTGCTCCTGCAATCCTCAAAAGAATGCCAGGAGAATCATGCAGTTATGAAGCCAGAAAATGCTGGCACACAGCCTGAAAGCCATGAGCAAATGCCCTGCAGAGCAGCTGTCTAGAGTGCTGAATGCACAGATTTCAGTGCACTGCAGGAGAGAGCTGAGGCCACTGGTGACCCCCCCAGTCTTGCCTCAGTGGAGGAGAAGACCGCGCAGTATGTGACAGCATGACCTGGGCCAGTGGCCTATCCTGTCTGACCTTCCCATCTTCTAGAAGCAACTCTAAGGACAATGCTGCAGCCAGAAAGCGGTATTCAGACCATCTGGACTGGTACACCTAACGCACTTAAAGCCTTTAAAGGTTTAAAGATTTGGCAACTGTTTCTGGAGACTTATCTTAACCACCACCCCCGGATAAGTCTCAGGTTCAGCTCCTGGGTCATTAAATCGGCTACCAACCTGGAGTATAAGGGCAGATTTCAGATTTCAGATTTCACAAACTCTTGAGGTTGCAAACCACTTGTTTCTACTTTTGTGTAAGGATGGGCAGAAATAGAAACAAATAAGCTTTACTTCTATTTCAAGAGAGAAACAGAAGGATAAACAAAGCTTTACTTCTATTTCAAGAGAGAAACAGAAGGATAAACATTTCACCTATTTCCAGGAAAAATAATCCCGATAGTATCCCGATAGGGATTTCCACCTATTTCCAGGAAAAGTAATCCCGATAGTATCCTGATAGGAGATACTAGTTTTTTCATATTTTTGACTAGACTAGAACTAGAACCATGGAAATGAGTCATATAATTTAAAAAGTAGTATTAAAGTGATGAGAAAATAAATCAAATTCATTTATTATTTTTAAGACTGAAATAAATGAACTAAAATACATTAGAGAATACAAAGAATTACTTTAAGTTTATGTTTAATTGCCCAGAATATTCCTAAATAATCAAAAGGATTTTATGAAATATAAATTTTTAAAAAGAAATATAAATTCAGTAATCTTGCTAAATTACTATCAGCATTAATATTTTTCAAGTTGTTATTTGGGATAAAATAAACAGTGGGCTTAGACAGGTGGAAGCTTTTAGTAAGATTATAAAATTTTAAGTTATAAAATTCACTTATAAATGGATGGAAATGGAGAGCAGCATTCTGAATGAAATGAGTCAGAAGAAGCACAGGCATAGAATGACTGCACTCCTTGGTCAAATATAAAAAATGCTTAATGTGCTTAACCCTTCTTAAGGGCAAGGAGGATCAGTCTGTGGTTGGAAGCCTGCCTTAAGTGCTGGGGGAGAAGGCAGCTCTCCCAGAGAAGGGACCATTATGACAAAGGTAGTTGAAAATGATCACTCTGGATAGGAACTTCGTGCTGAAAATAGGTAAAGGAACAAACACCTCTCAGTATCTGTGTTGCCGACTATAGTGCCAGAAGGAGAGAGAGAGGACCAACGGAGGGAGAGAGGGAGGGAGAGAGAGAGAGAGAAAGCGAGAGAGACAGATCCAGAGAGAGACAGAGAGAGATAGAGAGAGACAGAGAGAGAGACAGAGAGTGCCTGCCATAGAGCCAGGCTTAGTGGTTAGTGACATTTCATCTTTGAAGATACATTTTAGTTTCAATATTGTGGAGTGTTTAGCCTACATTTTCTTCCATGTACCTTATGGACTCGTGTCTAAAGTTGAGGTCTATAATCCGTCTTGATCTGACTTTTGTGCATGATGTTAGATAGAGGTGTGAGTTTTTTTTTTTTTTTATATGTAGCTGTCCACTTTTTTCCAGCATCTTTTTTTAAAGAGGTGTTAAACATTGTTTAAAAAAATATGTACTTTTTGCTTCACTTCACATTCCTTGCTCCTTTATAAAAGACTAAATGATCCTATATTTGAGGGTGTGTGTCAGGATATTCAAATCTGTTCCATTGGTCTGCACGTCTTTATTCCAATACCATGCTGTTTTAATCACTGCAGCTTTGTAGTATGGTTTGAAGTTGGAGAAAGTAATACCTTTCATCTTCTTTTTCCAAGTATGGCTTTAGCTATTCGTGGAGGTTTATTGTTCCATATGAATTTCAGGAGTGTTTGATCAATTTCTTTGAAAAAATTTCATGGGAATTCTCACAGGGACCACACTGAATCTGTATAATGCTTTGAGGAGTATTGCCATTTTGACAGTGTTAATCCTCCCAATCTATGAGCAGCGGATGTGTTTCCATTTTCTTGCATCCTCTTTTATTTCTTGAAGTAGTGTTTTGTAGTTTTCCTTGAATAGGTCCTTTACCTTCTTAGTTAAGCAAATTCCAAAGTACTTGATTTTCTGAGGCATGATTATGAACAGGATTTTTTTTAACATCACTGTCTTCTCTTTCATCATTTGCATATAGGAAAGCCATAGGCTATTGGTATTAATTTTTAAACTGTCACTTTATTATATAAATCTATTGTTTCTAGGAGCTTTTTGGTAGAGGCTTTTGGGTTTTCTAAGTATAGTATCATGTCATCTTCAAATAGTGATAGCTTGGCTTCTTCCTTTCCTATCTGGATGCCTTTAATATTTTTTCTTCTCTAATTGCTATGGCAAGTGTACTTCCAGTACTATATTAAATAGAAATGGCAAGAGTGATCATTCTTGTATTGTCCCTAATATTAGAAGAAAGGCTTTTAATTTTTTCCTATTGAGAATAATGCTTGCCATGGGCTTGTGGTATATGACTTTGTGGTATACATTAAGCAAAGTTCTTCAACTCCCGTTTCGTTGAGAATTTTCATCATGAACGGGTGCTAGATCTTGTCAAATGATTTTTCTGCATCTATTGATATTTTCACTTTTTTATCTTTTATTTTATTGATATGATTATGTTTATTGACTTTCAAATGTTAAAACATCCTTGCATCCCTGGGATGAATCCCACTTGGTCATGGTATATAATCTTTGTGATGAGTCATTGGATTCTATTTGCTAATACTTTGTTGAGGATTTTTGCATCTGTGTTCATCAGGGATACCATCCTGGAATTTTCTTTTTTTGTGGAG